GCACGGCTGGAGGATGATAGGTGAACCCTCGGTCGAGAACTCCGACGAGAACTGTCGCCAGAGCCTTCGCTCGGATATTTCGGTTTCTCGGCGAAACTTTTCAGGCTAAGGAAAACACGCGAACAGGGAACGTCTCGATCTTCGCGAAACAATTGGAGGCTGCAGCGGGAGATGCATCGGGGGTCAGATATTGTTCGCTTTTGAAAGCGAGACGGTACACGCCGAAGAATGTTCTGGCCTGAATTTCCCTCGGGTCATCATTCATTTAAGCAGCGTCGCTGGCTAGAACGAAATCCCTGACAAGTTTTTCGTCAAGCCGCAGCAGCTGAGGCAGCAGTAGCAGCAGCGGCGGCGGTGGCAGCAGTGGCTTTGAATAGCTGATTATTCGAACGTCGAACGACAACGTTTATGGGATTTGCGCGAGTTTTAAACAAAGCTGTTCGAATGTTCATTGTCATCGGTTAAAGACCACGTCGGAAGCGTAACCAATTCGCACCGGCCGGAGAGTCTCTGGTTCCAGAAGCCTCTCGTCGGAGTTCGCGCGGTGTTCAGAGTAAACGTTGGAGGAGAAGTTCAGACGAAGACAAAAGACAGTGGGACGATTGGATCGAATATTCGCCCTCGCGAGATCGTACGCAACGTCAGCACCGGCGTCGAACATAATCCTTTTCACACAGACATACATGGGTCCGACAGATTTGCCCCGTTTTCCCGTTACGTGCGAGCGGAACAGTCACGTCGCCAAGCGTTTTCGGGATGACCAACGCACGGAAGAGCCGTCGCCTCAAGTGGTCAACTTGGAATCATGGGATATTAAAAAAAATAACACCACCAGCCCGAAGAACAGGTAACGAACAAGTCGCAACAAGGAAAACGCACGCCAGAGACGAAACGGTTCCCGAGAACGCTCCGTCTCACTGACTTCCAGTAGTGATAAGCGAACGCGCGACCGACCGACCGATGGCTGGAGCATTGAAGAGCATCGAAACGGTTCCGACAAGCGCGCCGCCGCGCCGTGCAAACAAAGGAAAACATCACACGTAAGATCACAGCTTCAAGATTCCACCAAACCACCGTTTGTTCGGTCGTTCTTCCGATCGGAGCTGGAATTTACCAATGACGACAGAGCCAGCGGCGAGCTGAGCGGTTCGGCTGATCTTGCGTTTGGCTGCCGGTGTTCCGATCCCTGATCCGAGCGGCGGGCGGTGCTCTTCTGTTTTCAGCAGAAATCCACGCGAGGAAGCGCCGTCAGTGAAAGTGGATTTGAGCACCGTGTGTGTGTGAGCGAAAGCGCCGCAAAGCCCAGAGGCTCTTCTCGACCGGCTGCACAGCCGGTCGGTCTTAGCCGTTGTTCCATTTATTCGATAGAATTTTCGTAGGTGTGCCTCCGTTACGTGGCGATCGCGAGGGAAATATCAAATCGACGTGGAAACGGTGACCATCGCGATGTCCTTCTCGATCGCCTGCCTTCCTGTTACCGTTATTCGCTTTCCATTCACTAGATAAGAAGCGTTGCGTGTCTCTTCGATTCAGACTGAAGATTGCCGTTCTGCCGATGATCGTACGATCGCTCTGAACACGGTTATGGGCTTTCGCTCTGTTGAACGGCCTTCCGCGAGGAGGAGACGACTAAAAGGGATTGAATACACAGCTAAAAAAAAAACAAAAAAGAAGTCCAAGCCTCGAAGTCGAGGCAGGGTCCAGGCGATGAGTGATTGCGTCGTACAGCGGGTGAGGTATTCACAGAGCGTTTTTTTTTGCGTTTGGAAGTGCGGAACGGAGTGAGCGTACGCGGACGGTCCGTCGTGCTCCACGGGGCTTCATCCATCTGGGCGGCATTTCCGTCCCAGGGAATGTCTTCAAAAACAGAGCATGCAATTGCGTTTGCGGCGACGCTATGCGCGCAGAGGCTTTTTATAAATTGCTCAACGATTGAATGAAAATGTACGGAATGCGAGCATGATCTCTTTTGGATCAGTCGCCCACTCTTGAAGTCGCTTACTCACTTCTCGAATTCGAACGGAGAACCCTAAAGGTGGGATACAGCCGGAGGGCCTAGGTTTTGCTCCTTTCCTGCAGATGGTAGGCAAAAGTCAGACCGTACTTCGCCCGCCCGCTTTTCTGCCAGGCCGTCCATCTGCTCTCCGTAGGACGTTACGACCCTACTTCACCGGATGCATTAGCGTGCACGGATCCATAGTTTCATGCAGCACTCACATACATGGCTTGCAGCCTCCTATTACAACAAGACTTATACATGCCAGGCGCAGGCAGCTTATGCCAGTGAATGGCTGGAGCTTCGCGAGTGTGAAAGGGCGGTGCCTCCAACTTGTTCCTTGAACTTGGGGAGCTGCTCGAAGGCTCGTTGGCTTCGAGGCGATGAAAGTTCTCACAACATAGAACTTCTGCCCTCCCAAGGCTGAGGCTCCGAACCCGGGCAATAGTACCGAGTCCTCGAGCCGCATTGAGCCCGCGATCACGGTTGATCGGAGTCAGAGTCGGAGATTTATAATAATTTGGGTTCAGTGGAAGCTCCCACTACTTGTTCGAGTTGAGAGTTCATAAGAGTCTCGGGGGAAGATCCGGGAGACTCGCTGGACCCCAAACCGGCCAACATTGAAATTGACCACCGGCGGCGCAGTGAGCTCTCTTACAGTGCTCGGCTCACTGCCGAGTTTGATAAACACGGCCATACGATTTTGTTTGGGTTTCACAATTATAAATCATGGTGATCGAAACTCAACTCGCTTTCATACGGTCCCGAAGGATTTCCGTGGCCAGCACGGACTCATTAGAGAAAAAATTCCTCGTCCCGATGGGCGCAAGGGAAGAATCTCTGGTCTAGCTGGAAGATCCGACGACAAGGCAGAAGGGAACTCGCACGACGTTTTCTATTCGATCGTAGACAGAAAATCTGACTCCAAATGAAAACTCCGGCCCCAGGTTCTGCTTGGAGAAACTGTCCGAAGTTGGGGGGACGTCTCTACGAATCAGGAGGCATCTCACTCAGCCCAGACATGGCTCGGAGCGGTTGCAACTTCCATTCATTGGAAACTTAAAAAAAAATGAACAGAGTTTCTCTAGCCCCATTCCCCGGCTCTCCTCATGACACGATGAACATATCTACAATTCCGGGAGAGAGATGTTTAGCACGAAATGTTCTTCCTTTCACAAAACTCATACAACGCCGACGTGCTCTAATACTCCTCTGATAGCCCTCTCATCGCGCGAGGCTCAGTTCCGTAGAACGGGAAGAGACGGAAGAGTCAGACTGGGAGGTCATCAGCTGGAATGGCAGCTCATTGAAAGTCATGCATTCCTCCGGCGCGTCGAGCTTGGTTTCCGACCCGAGTCGAGTCGTGAAATATCCATGTCTACTTACATTCGGGTTGACAGTATCAACATGTGTTGACTATTTTCCATCTGTTTCATTTATTTTCCATCTAGGTGACGATCCCGGACAGCTTGGAGCTTGAGCAGAGCGTACGGGCTAGATATCTCCGCTGTGACAAGAATCCCAGCGGCGACTTTTCAAGTCTAGTCGTCCCGGGGAGACTTCGATTATTCAATGAAGAATTGGAGGAATGATTTCAGATGTGTCCATCGGGATTCGCGCCCGTGATTTTCTCTCCTCCGTGGAAATATTATCTACGAGCGAGTTTCTGAACAATATCTCCCGAAGCTCCGATTTGTTAAAGCGGACGCGCTCACTGATCTGGTTCTCTACTGCCATAGAGGAAGAAAACCCGACGATCCTCTTTTGCCGTTGAACACTCGTCGCTCGATGGCTAACTCAATAACACTCGAGCCAAACGCTTTGATTACGTCTCTACCGCAAGCCAGCCAGGCCTTTTCCACGGTATCCAGTCGCAGTACGCCTTCGTCATGTTGCGAGTATCGATACGCAAGTGGAGCGGCGCGACGTCTCCATTGATAGGTATATTTAACACTTTAGCCTTGCTCATCCAACCCGTTCCACAGATCGAGTGATATCGTGCCAGAATGAGCCTGTTTCGAGAGAAACCGCAAATCCCGTGTATATTCAGACGGGAGGGTTTGTAGTGGAATGTATTCGCGAATATCGAGGTCTCCAGTACGCTGGCCGAATCTGTCCTCGGTTCGAATGCGAACACCCGCGAAGAAGCTTCCGGAGGAATATTGCGAAACTTCCGAAAAGGACTATTGCTCGCGAGATGAGCCCTTTTGAAGCGTACCTTCAGCTGGTGAAATGGCTTCGATCAGAAAGCCTTCGACTATTCGCCCTCAAATAGCTATTCAGACTTCGATATTTCGCGCCAGCAGCTCCCAGGTTCGGTCCGTGAATAGAATTTTGGGAGAACAGCTGAATGGTACGTCTGGAATGACGTGGAATAGAAACATGAAATAGAACGATTGGCTCAGAACAGCGGGACGTTTGACCCGGAAAATGGGACTTCTCCGACATGGGTCAAAAATAAGAAAATGAATTACGACAAGCTCCCGAGCCGTCTCTGGACACGAAAAGTTGTGTCCGGAATTTTGATCCGCTTAGCGGGATTGATTCTAATTCTAACAAGATCAGTCCGAACATTGCGCGAGCGTTTTCCGGGAGGTATCGATCGATGGGACCGCCAAATCCAAGAACAGGGGGCGAGACATTCTCCGGACAACTGTAGGAACCGGGAAAGCGCATCGAGTTCATTCGCGCGGTCCTCCGCGCGATTGTCGTACCATCGAGAAGCACGCGCGAGCTGTCGATGGGGCTTCCCTCCCTCTCGATGAATGAAGCCTGCGGCAGCGACGCGCTCCTGGTGGCCATGGCGCTGGTATTCGCTTTGGCCGCAGCCATCCTGGATTCCCCTCCTGAGCGGGTGCGCTGCGTGTTCCTTCCTTCGGTATGGGGTCCCTCTCTCGAAACGGTTGGTCCCTTTCCCCGTCCCTCTCTCGCACTCCAACGTGAAACACTGCTCCACACAAGAGATCACCAGAACCACCGTTCCAAGCTCCAACACAACATCAACAACATATCATCGTAGATGGAGCCACCGCTAATAGCGAGAGTTTCCAATTAAGGAAAAACCATTCAGGATGAGAAATCGAGTGCGAGTTACTGCAATGGACCCAGTGCGCAATTAGACGCCGCCAGTTGCCAGAGTGTTCCACGAGAGAAACCACTCCAGGAAGGAAGAGTAAGTTCGAATCAACATTGTACCGCTGTCTCTGATTGTTATTATCGACGCTTTGCGTTCATGGGACGCTTCTCGATCGGAGCGTCGCGGAAATCACATGCGAATCGAGCAAACGTCGCAACGCCGCAGGGAAACTCCAGGCTTTTTCATTTCGGGAAACTCTCTCTAGTGAGCTCGGAATTCCCACGCATTGCTCTCAGCACGGGAGCGTCGCTCTCCTTCGGATGAGGATTCCAATAATTTCGAACGCTATCCTCCCGGAGTCGAATAATCGGTCGCACGTCCGATGCTTTCTGTCCAGTCGTTGGAAGCTTGTTCTTGAAGCGCGCGAAAATCTACCGAGCGACCGGGCAAGCGAGCGTAATAAGCTCGTGCGATTCGTGCCCGAACTATGTGGAAAACTCGGCCGAATATGTTCATTTTTATTCGTGGAGGCCCAATAAATTCAGTGACACGTTCGGAAAGTGGGCATGATGTCACGTCAAAATATACTTATCGCTGCTTGCGGCTTCCTAGCGTTTGTTGGTTGAGTCGTCCAACTGGCTTTCTCTTTTGTCACCGGACGGACGGACGGCCACCTAGACCGTAGACGGTTCCCGTTTCTTGCTTGACTGCTTGCTTAGTGCGTTGCCTGAATAGTTTGGAAGCCGCCACGATAGTAGATTGCTCACTCGCTCGCTCACCCGCCTGTCCAGTTCCTCGTCGCGGGGCAGCCGGCCGGTCGGTCGGTTGGTCGGCCAATACATGACGGGAGAACGATAGATAAGTGAAATGTGATCGGTGGCGCGGACGTGAAAAAATTTAAGAGAAAATATCCGAAGCCTTTCAGCTCTGCATTCTTGTTTCCGTTCCCCATTGCCGCCGAAGTCTCGTGTCAATTGTCCCGTGCAGAACCCCCACGAAATGATTGCGCAATCCAATGCCAACGATCTCTTTTCTCCATATCGATCGAAGAAATTCATTGAATGAGGCCAAGAAGCGTTCTCTCATATCTCTCGTTCTTGTTTCTGTCTCCGACGATCACCTCTCAGTCGGCCCGAATTTCCTGTCCTGTGCGCTCCTTAGTTTGTCGGAAGGGGAACGAACCGGTTCCAGAGCTCCTCGTATACCCACTCTAGTGGAACGAGACAATTTTTCCACTCAGCCGAGTCGCATCGGTTTCTCGAAAGTTTGAGGTATCTCAAACTGTAAATCTTCAACTGTGAGAGTAAATGATGGCGTAGCGAATATCGTATTCATCATCGTCACCATGATCGTGTGAGCCCGCTCGCGTGCGGCTGAGCCATCTTTCGTGCGCAGCTAGCTATCAACTTGAAGGAGCCATAGAAGAATTTCCGCCGAAGCCTCCATCAGCGCGTGTGGGGGAGAATTCCACTTCATTTGGCTTTTGCAGAGACTTTGTCCTCTGACGACGACATCTCGCGCTCCATAAACCACCAGCCATCGCCATTCCATAGTTCACCCGACTCCCATGTCCCCCGCCTACCTCGAGCCCCTTCGCTCCGCGCCCACAGGGAGGACGTCGGTTTTCGGAGTTGTCCCCGCATGGCCCCATTCCCTCTCGCTCTTGTGGGTTCCCCGTGTGCTTCACGGCGCGGCGTGAGGAAAAACTTCATATGAGCTGCGGTCTTTGGTTGGCGTCCATCAACGGAAATTCAAGTTTGACGAGATGGACGTTCTGGGCTTTTCTGAGCTCCGTCCGAGAACGGTGTGCTCAGCCACGTACAATCATAGACGTGCCAGAGGAGCGAGAGAAAGAATGAGCGAGAGAATGTCGAAGAACGTGCGAAGGGAACGACGCTGGGGTGATGGACGTGCTGTCTACTGTTAGTGGTAGAAGGTTTGTCGGAGGATGGCGAAAAGATTGGCTCTCTGGCTAAATTCAATCCCGCCCCCTCAGCGTAGGCCGACGAGCTCCGTGCGACGTTGCCGGGAGCATTTCCAATCTTTGGTCTGTCAGTCTCGATTCGTGACGCCGAGAGCCATTGGATCGTTCTGCCGCATCGCTCCATCGCAAGCAAACGATTACCATAGGCGGCCACCTCTGGGCAACTTGTCGGCTTGGGGCCAGCGAGTTCCGTGGTAGGCTGTGCTTCGATCACTTTCGTCCGCGCCGCTGTACTCCACCTCGACCACATTATCGACTCCCTGATTCAAATGCAAATGATAGCATCGCACAAACTTGCGCCGCGATCGGCCCGCGAAGGCCTACGCGGCATTCCGGTCGTACCAGCCAAGCCCCACCGAATATCCTTCCTCCAAACGAGCCTCACAAATTGTTCACTGGAAAAGCGGATATAATCTGGCGAACGGGGTGGATTTCCGCGGATGTGGCCACAGGAGAAATGGGCAGATTCCCAGGCGGGTGTTTGCATTCGTGCATGCACGCATGGATCGATCGCTCTTCCGATTGATTGCTAATGGGTGACAATCAATGATCAGCTGGAATGTGAACAAATGTTCAAAAACGACTCCGCACCGGATTGACACCAATCCACGAAAACGATGGATGTTCGAGAAGTCGTTATCTTGTCGCGAAAATCTATCGGGGACTGCTCGCCACCGTTCCAATCGTTCGCGTTACTCTCTTCTCGAAAAAGAATCACGGCAGCAGAACGCTCTTTCCGCGAGGCGATAAGTATCAATTGACTCAAGTGAACGGGAAGACTCAAAAAAGACAGGGAACATGCCCGTGACGTGGTCACGTTCCGGGAAGATATCGAACGTGGGAGCTATGAGAAAATTCGCTCATTTGTCGACACGGACCTCATGCCATCCGTAATATTGGCGGACTTGCAATCCGCTTCCCCGAGTGAGATCACGATGCTCCTGATTCTGCGCGAGTCGGCGTTCGACGATCACGACCGGCAGCTAGAGATTCGTTTAGCGCAAACATCGAACAAGACCTTCTGGAGCAGAAAGCTCGAGACAACATCGCGATGGCAACGAGTTAGCGACTCGTCGTCGTCGTTGTGGGGGAGGATCCTTTCGGACGAGGAGGAACGAGACAAGGAGAAGCGCATCCGAGGAAAGAGAATAAGGAGTCCTCACAAATTTACTCGAACGCAAAACAAATTACCTCACAGCACACAAGGCGGCCAAGTCCATTGTTGATTGGCTGTCTCGGAGCCCGCCTGTCTCCAGGCTCCTTGAAAAGAAGCTCGTCGTTCAATTTCCGCTCGGGTTCGAACTCTCCGAACGCGGCGTGAAACTGGAACGACGGACGGTCGGCCTGCCTGCCTGCCTGCCTCGATTCAATGAGAACAGCGTACTTTCCGCAGCTAATTGCTCGATGGAGTAAATTGGAAACTTTCGAATCATTAGGAGGAGTTCTTCATAAGCGACGACCATTGACGAGCTGATAAGTGAAAACCCAATGACGCGTTACCTGGAGAAAAAAACTCCGCTCATTGTCACCGTCGACGCACGCAACTTTTCTCGCTTTTCGGAGTAGTTCCTGTATTGGAAAGGAGAACAGTGACGAGACGAAACAAAAGGTCTTAAAAGATGTCATCAAAAGTTTTTCCGCGTCTCTTTTAGGGCAGGGACAGCGGATTCAACGGCCATACTCACCGATGCCGCGGGAGCTGCCGTCGGGGATGACGTGCCGAAAGTAACAGTATCCGTTGTAGGGGTGGCGCATTCGCGAAAGTCAAATCCGTGAATCAGTCCGTGAAATGTGAGAACACGTGTTGACGCCCAGCGGTTCGCTTGGCGACGTTCGAATGATCGGATGCTGGCGGTTTGACCAACCATACCATGAAGACGCTCCCAGGATCCAAGATCATTGTTCTGACCGGGCGAAAGCTGCTCCGGTCGGCTCGTCGATTTATCATCAGTGTCCATGACTGTGGATACGCGGACTCCCGTTGTCCGGACGGGTTACTTTCGATTTCGTATCTGCAGCTTGAGCGGCTCGCACCGTAGGAGTGACTCCCTGCATGCGATCGATGCTAATCAGACTGATTGAGAATGATGGGAATTCTCCGTGTTCGTCTCTGTCAGTTTCCCGCCACACGAGATCTCGCCGTCCGCGTCCTACGAGCGAGGAACCGGGACGGAAAAGTCAAAGGAAGATGGAAATCAATCGAGCCTGAATGGGGAGGAAACAGTCGAGGACGGGGGACTATGACTTGAGCCACGGGTAAAACATTGACGTTCAGATTGAGCACGCTCCGAGCTTGGTCTGCGGAATGAATTACGGCACTCGCTCACGTGTACCGTTTTCGTCGATTCCCTCAGGTGGAACACTGGGCCAGTCAATCGGTGTGGCCGCCCAGTCCTATCGAAAGCTGCAGGTCGAATGAACTTCGCTTGGAAGCTTCGCGTTCGGTTCTCAACGTCGAATCCGATGTCTGACTGAGAGAGTCGTAGTAGCTGTCATCGAAACAGGCATCTCAGAGAAACGAACAGTGTTGGAGAAAGAGCGAAGAGAAAAATTCCAACTCACTCCACGCCATTCTTCTCCGTCAGAAGTTCCGCCAGCTATTTTTGTGGGTGAATTTTCCGCGGCGGAAGCCCGACGAGGGATTCCGTGGTTCGGGTCTCCCACCGATTCTTCGACTTGCGGAGAAAGTAAATTTCATCCATAAATAACGGAAACAGCGAGGAAGGAGTGTTTGACTTTTTTGCGCGTTGTCGTTTCCCTGGCGCAGTGTCCTCCTCGAAGTGAGGGGAAATAGTGGATTTATTGGTTTTTGTGATCCCATTTTCTCCCAAAAAAGGTCAGCCGTCTGGCCACTGGGTTCGTCGAGTTCCTCGAGACTGGATCAGGGGAGAATCCCAGCGTCGTCCATTCGGTTTGTCGGTCGAGCGCTGGACGCTTGTTCTGAAATATTGGAAGAACAAGTTATTTTAAAAAGATCTGACGCGACGGCAAGGAAGCTCCTTCTTGGGTGCGTCAATGTGGCCATGTGACAGCGCGAACATCTGTGCAAACTATATGACGCAGCCTGTGTCAACCCTCCGAGAAAATTTTCCGAACGCCAAGGCGGCCGGTC